GAAGCAAGCCGCCAAGTACTGCCTTAGAGCGGGCCACCTTTTCCGAAGACCGGTAGGATCGGGGATGCCCTTACGGGTGGTCTGTGATTCTGAGGAGAGACAGATGATAGTTGCGGAGCTTCACGATGGGGTAGTCGGAGGACACAGAGGAATCAAAGGAACCTACGAAAAGGTACGCAGGTTGTACTGGTGGGAAGGACAGTATAAGGACGTCGAGAGGTATTGTATGACCTGCGAAGAATGCCAGAAGAGGGCTCATGTGAGGTATAAAGAGCCACTCCATCCATCCTATCCAACCAGACCAGGAGAGAAGGTACACATCGATCTAGTGAAAATGCCGAAAGGAGTAGGMAATATGAACTACGTCGTGAATATACGAGACGATTTCACTAGGTTCGTTGACGGTAAACCCATCAGGAGTAAGACGGCAAAGGAAGTAAAGAACTTCGTCCTAGAGTACATATCTAGGTATGGCTGTGTCGGCAAGATAGTGATGGATAGAGGATCGGAGTTCTTGGCTGACGAGGTTCAGGATGTGTTTAAGAGAGCTGGGGCGAGAGTTTCGATAGCCACCGCCTATCACCCACAGACGAACTCCCCAGTAGAGAGAGGACATCAGACTCTGATAGCATCGCTGTCCAAGTGGTGCAAAGGCAAGGACAGTGATTGGCCACGATATTTTCGATATGCAATATGGGCGGACAACGTCACGGTCCGGGCTAGTACCGGATACCCACCCTACACTTTGTGGTTTGGGCGACATTGCCCGCTTTTCATAGAGTTTCATGTCGATAGCTGGACGACCATCGACTGGGCGGAGGAGATGTCCAGGGAGGAACTTATAGCCGCTCGAACAAGACAGATAGCCTATGGTTTGGAAGAGAACCTCATGACAGCGTCAGATCGCTTGGCAGTGGAAAGAGACAAAGGTAAAGAGAGATGGGATAAGAATGTGAGAATCAGGAAAGAGAGGGTGAGTGTAGGGGATATGGTCCTTCTCTACGATGCCGCGCTTGAAAGAACTTGGACCGGGAAGCTCGCGAACAGATGGATGGGACCTTACAGAGTGGTTGAGGCACTCGACTGGGGTGCATATATGATAGTTGAGTTAGACGGGTCTAAGTGGAAGGACCCAGTGGCGGGTACCAGGTTAAAGCTGTTTAGGCCAAGGCCCGGGGCCGCCTTGTCGCTAGCTGACCCGAAGGGGAAAGGAAAGGCCAAGATAGAGGACGGAACTCCCCCGAGGCGATACGAGGCAGGAGAGAGTTCCAAGAAGAGGAAAAGGGTGGAGAAAAGGAAGGTTAAAGGGTTAGCTCTAGGAAGAAAGAAGAAATGACTATTCGTGCTTAAAAGGGTCAAACGAAGAGTCCGCGTTAGACAAACTGGCGGGACGGCACCCTTCCCGGGCCAACGACAGAATAAAAGGAGGATCCTGCCAAGCCAGAGGACTCGGCGGGAAAGGAAAGTCAGGAARCRTCCGCTTAGCCCCAGGACCAGGAACAGACTGAAACATAAGGYAATTAAACRCCAACTAGGGCGCCCTTTACGGGCCATTATCCTGAAGCTCGTCCGTTTCGTTTGACGTGAGAGAACAGGCCTCGACGGGGGCGTCGAGAAGTGGTCCGGGCTAACTGTCAGGCGGCCACAAGTAGTGCTCCGCCTGAAAACGACAGTTTAGGGGTTTAGGCTCAGGGTTAAGTCCGGGTTTTTACAGTGCTTTGGGATGACCGGGCTGCAGGAATTATGAGAACTCAGGGTACCCCTGATTCTGCACGCACTAGATTTTAAGAGTAACCCCCAAAGACAGCAA